GCCGTTTCGCAACCAGATGGCTTCGTTTTATGAAAAAAATCGTTTTTTTTTGTTTTATATTCGAAAAGGCAAAAATTTATCTAATTTCACAACACTTCTACTATTTAATTTGATTACAAAAATGAAGTGTTATTTAGTTGAACTTCTGTAAGTAAATGAAAGTGAATCCAAAGTAAATACTGAATCGAAGCATTATGATTGAGTGTCCGCAAATTAACCGTTTCATTGAAGTGGTCTTTGGTAAACCACATTTTTTGTTTTTTGATCTGACGTTAACACAATAAAAAAAAAAAACGTTTGTATCAACAACTACTAATAAATTAAAAATTACCTAATTAAAAAAAACATTATCCAGCGAACAAAATTGTGAATCTAAACAATTCCCAGATCCCCTTGAACACACACAAAAAATTTCATCAAAATCGGTCCAGTGACATACACACTCACAGAAGAATTATATATATAAAGATATACCACAATAGACAATCGTGAAGCATTTTATATGTCATACGAGTAACTGAATGATTGTGTGACACAGTTAGATAACATTGTAAAGAAAACAATTGCTAAAGTGTGAGTAAGGTTTTTTTGAAATTATCTATCTAGTACACAACTTTATATATAAGATACCTATATTAATTAAATTTTTATATATTATTGCATTATTGCCGTAGCGTTTATATACAATAAGCAATATCGTATACCGTTTCTATGACATCTCCGCACTAATAATAAACTTAGTTGATTGATGTTACTTATTTATAGCTAACAACCATAATCAAACTATCCATTAAATAATAGGGCAGATTAAGTATCAGAATATAACATTGGATAAGTCTGTGATACTTATTTTATTTTTGAGTCTTTAGCAGGAACGAAGAAATATTTCGTCATCATTACTTAATGATGAGACGTTACACTGGAATATAACAGTTAAAAAAATTAAATAAAATAAAGTTCAAATGATTGCGCAAGGTAAGGTTCGTTTTTGTTATCATAAGTTAAAAAAGTTTATAATATAATCTTAATTATATTTTTACAACGATTTAAAAGCCCAAATTCCTCTTGAGAATTTCTGGTTTTAATTGAATGAAACAAGAAAATGCATCAAATTGTAAAATAAAAGCTAGAAAATTCGCATAGCTATGAAAAAAAATTGATTTTTTTTATATTGTTTTTTATCATTATATTCAATGTATATTCAGATTTTTTGTTTATGTTAAAAAAAGTGCAATTAATTAACTAAACCACAAACATTTACCTATTATCAACATTAAAACATTTATTTACATATCTATAACGATATAAGTAATTTATAATCAATCAATCATTTTTGGAATTAAATGAAACTAAAATTCATTTAGCGGAATATATTTTTATTATACTGATTTTAAAAATAATAATAAATCTATCCATATGAATACATATCAATCATAAATAAACGTTTGTTATTAAGTGTTCGCAAGAATTCCAAGACTAGTGAATAGTGATACAGCTGTGTAAGAAAGAGACAGTTGATATTTTTTCTTTATGGCACTAAGATCTACAAGTCGAATTTGCGAATAATAATTATATACTTGCAAGAACAAAATAAGTACTATCACAAGATAATAGATATCTATTTTTGGTAACAATACATGATCTAAACGTTAGATAAATAAACCAACTTTACCTTACCGTAGTAAAAGACGCAAGCAAGCATAATGTATAATCGCTGTGCTAAATCATCAATCATTAAAAATGATTTATCTATATTGCAGATATAGGAACGCATAGAATAAATATTACTACGAATACTTCACGTTTATATTATTCAGAACACAATGAAAAACTGATTTTATTCCGAAATATATAAGATAAATATATTACGTTCAAACCAGTAATACATATCTTATACAATAGCACAACAGACACAGTCCCTTTTGACTAAATTATGACTCACGCGGACGTCATAATATTAATATTATACTTTTTCATCGATGTGGCCAAGGCACGGTTAAACGAAATTAGAAATAACTTTTTATAAATTTGACAATATCTGTTTAGTAGTATGTGAATTATAAAGTAACAATTAAAAAGATTTATTTTTACATACAAGATAAGTGACGATATAAGATTATTGATCAAGACAGCCACAATCACAATCAATTTTTATTTCACTTCACGGTACGGTAAAAGCTGCCTTGTATCTGGTACGAATAAAGTTGAAAACAAAAGACATTTTAAAAAACTAAAAATGATTGAAGGCTCCTTGATAATGGCGTGTAAAAGAACGTTATTCAAGACGGACGAAGATATCGGTTGCTAAATCATTAACATTAAATAGTGATTTAAGAGCACTGAGACTAAACCATGGTAACAAATTACTATTATTCTTACTTATGTGTTCGAAAATACACTCGCGTAACTTCACTGGCGTTCAGCCGTCGAATGAAGTCGTATAATACGGCTCTTATTGTCGAGTAGCAACGCTTGGCGGTAGGGCGTGGCGCGTGGGTGCACTTTGCTAACATCGACCACTACATTCCGCTCATATATACGAACAATATGTCAGTATCGTCGGTTCCCGAAGAGTGAACAAAGGAAAGGTGCTGTACTGCGTACATTCCTTAGGGAAGAAAATATAAATGTTGTAATCTTGTGTTTCCTATCCGTGTATAAAGTTAAGGATAGTTTTTTGTTTTTGTTTAGCTTGAACAGGTTAGTGTAAATTCAATACTACGCTTATGAACGGGTATCTAACGTAATGAAAGTTTTTAGGCATGCAATGATGTCCGCCATTAATAGTGAACGATAAGTTAGTCTGATACATCTCCGGGCGTCCGTATAAATGTAACCTATATCTATTTGCTTGCAAGTGATATGATTCTACCAACTGCTTAACTAAGTAAAATATTTCGGATATGATTATCATATTCTATGGATAAACAATAAATATAGAAAGAGAATTCGTAAACTGAGACATCTTAACAACATTTATTTACGATAGTGGTGTTTACCTGTTTAAATGAATAGCATACAATGAATACTCGTTCGTTTTTATAACCAGCTCAAGAGTCAAGCGGTGCTAGGAGCATTGCATAACTTTTTAAACCATATTAGAATGCTTTGGAATAAAAGGTATGTCAGAAGTATTTAAAATTTAATAGATCTTTAATGTTATTAGATGTTGTGAATCAGTTCTGATTAGTGAGTTTTATATATTATCTTCTTATAAATGAACGGAATGTTTAAGTGTATAAATATATTATTAAATAATAAAGCTTTCTGTAATGTAGGCTTAATAAAGGGTTCACTTAAAATCCACATCATACGTTGTAATCACGAGTCTAGTTACAAACAATAACTTTAAAATTATTTTAAAAGTTATTCTATGCGCAACTCGCTGGGAGCGGTCAGTGATCGCGCAGGCAGGCGAGCTCTTCTGGGAATAGGGATTAACAAAGCGACGCCATTTTGTCGTTCACTTCGATTCGTGCCGTGAAACTGAGGGGACGAGTGACGGCGCTGGCGCGTCCACGTCGGATCTAGTTTTGTCTGCAAATTAAACAAAACAAACACATATTAATTTCCAACAAGGTGCTAATGTTATATTAATATCTTTTGTGACATATAGTGATTATAGTGCCGAAATTTATTTTTTCGAAAGATATCTTAAAGAATGCACCAAGCTGTCTGTTGTACGTAATTTCTAAGTTTCAAATTCAAACTTTTTTTTTAGTGACGTGATATGTGTTCTAAAGAATATTATTGACGCCTATTTTCTAGTTATGTTTATATTTCATTCTATTTTGTATGAAAATCAAATCGTTTAAAAGTAAGGTTAGTGAAAATTCAATATTGCTTTGTACAGCGCACGCCATATTGGTCCGAGTCGAATGCGTATTACGAATATGTACGAAGATACCCGAGATCGGTTCTACGACGTCGCTGGGTTGCATTGAATAAGAAAAATAATATTCTTGCAATATTAAAATATTCTTTTGTTGCTTTTTAGTATATTATAAATAATAATAAAAGTGATTTTATTTTAAACATGTACTTCTGATGTAGGAACTTTTGCATATCTATTTAAATGATATTTTATATCATTTCGGGTTTCGTCTAAAAATCGCAATGAATAAAAAGTTGATATTATGTATATATTTATCTATCGCTTCTAACATAGTCTATTATTCTAAATTTGATTAATATATTGAAATGACAAATCTTTCGATCGGTATTATTGATTAGTTAAAATTTAAAAAGTATTCGATTTGATTTACGAGCTGTTGGGAGTAAAAAAAGAAGAATTAGTTTTTGGATGACTAAATTCTACTACGCTTACACTTTGAACATCTGAGACTGTCTCAATACTTTTTCTATACTTTATGGATTTTATAATAACTGTTCTAATGTTTCGTTAATATTTGGAATGAAAAATGTGTCTGAGTTTTATTTTATGTTATGAATGCAATTGCCTAAAACCTAAACACATTGCGTTTTATGTTTAAAATGCTATTAAGTAGTGGATCTGAAAAACAACAGTGAAGACTTTAGTATTATTAGGGTCTATTGTTTACTATTGTTTTTATTATTACAAAAAAAATCTGATTGCCTTTAAAATAATAACTTTTTCGTGCAACCAAAGCAAATATTTTTACAAACTTAACAAATATTATATATAACAAAGTGGATGTGACTTGGTTTCGCTTAATGACTGTGATGGATGATTGTGACTGGATACGATAATGTTCGGACATGTGCAAGAAAACCATTTGTGTATAATTTGTAAATAATATTCGTAAAAAACTTAATATACGGTATTTCCTATAAAGAAAACATACGAGTTTTCCTGGTTTGGGATAAGTTTCTGGTAAACAATGATTGTGGTTGCAATCATAAATATGCCTTGTTAATCTATTAACAAGCAATTATTGGCTTTAGGACTTAAAACTTATGAAGCTATTAAACTAATTTTTTATTGTATATTAAAGTAACTATACATTTCAGCCAGAAATATGGAGTTCAATTACGAACGCAAGTTCCAGGAGATGAAAAAGTACATTCCATTTTTGGAAAGTATGATCAAAAGACTGGAGAAAATGAATTCTCCCGAGAATCCACGACAGGCTCAACTCGATAAAATAAAATCCTTGAGGGATCTTCTGATGGATAAAAGGAAAAGGTGCACATTATAATATTTTAGTGTTTCTTATATCTTTAAGGGTACTTTTCCAATAGAATGTAGGTTCAGGTGCAAGAGAAAAATTATTTAATAATAATTTAATAATAATAACTAAACATGTATTCAAGAAAAACAACAATAAATGTAATTGAAAGTTGTTAGTGAAGAGATTTGCCACAGTTTAAATCCAACCATTCTATGGAATAGGACCCTTTGTGAATTTTTTGGTTCTTTTCTTTTAACTTATTTTTATGAAAGATAACATTTAAATGATGAAAAGAGAAGACTTCTTCTAACGTACAATACAGTGAAAATAAGATTTTACTATTGGGCTCCAATGTTAAAATAATCAGAGAATATGTGGGCGACATTTTATGTTCTTTTTAAGTACAAATACTGTCCACCATAGTTTAAAATTTAAATGTTTGGGTTATCGAAAAATAAAGCGTGTTAAATTAGAGTTTATGGTATGTTTTGCATTTTATAATGATAATTATTGGAGTTACAATAAAAAAAGAAATAAAACACGTGACGTTGAATTTCTCCGAAACTATAGAATTTTCGTTTGGTAGGTTTCTGAAAATAGTTTCATAGTTTAGAATTATATGTGTTATATGTAACAAATTTTCATGCTTTGTTATAAAGGAAAGCAAGATAAAAAATTGTTGGATAATAAATTTAAGGGTATAATTGTTTAAAACGCCTGAGTTTGCCATGAAGTTTTTAAGTTTCTCAAACTATAATAATTTGAATATCTATATATATAAAAAAAGTCGTGCTAATTACTCCACTTATAACTCAAGAACGGTTGAACCGATTTAGCTGAAAATTGGCAGGGAGGTAGTTTAGAGTCAGGAGAAGGACAAAGAATACTTTTTATCATATTCGACAGCATTTCCGTGTGACTTGACATGAAACGTCAGTCACTAAAAAACGTGGTATAACAAAAAAGAATCAGACTTGGAATAACAAAACGCAATTGATATTTGTAAGAAATCTATAAAAATAAGTCCGGTTTTCCTTCCTGACGCTATAACTCCAGAACGAACGAACCGATTTCTACGGTTTTGCTTTCGTTAAAAATATCTCGAATTCCCTGAGGTTTATAACAAAAAAATTCAGGAAAAATTTCAAAAGAAAAGCAGGAAAATCTTTTTTCGCATACAGCGCCATCTCTTATACATAACATGTACTACAAATCAATATTTTAAGTAGATGGTTCCGGTGCATGATATATTGTTTGACAGCTACTCATTGTTCTCTGCTCAGTTAATTTCATGTGACAAACCGGTATTGTGTTTCTAGTTTAAACTCTTAAAACCATTTAGTATTTGCGGGATCAATTTAGAAAATCATTGTTTTTCACATGGGCAGTTATACTTTGCGTGTTCCCGAGTTGGGAAACCATCCGCTTTATTTGTGTTAAAGTTAGACCAAAAAACAAAAAATATGGGTTACAAAGGAGCACTTCAATGAAACGGATAATTTACGGACACGTATAACGCTTCGATTCGGTATCTACTTTGGATTCACTTTGATTTACATACTTAGAGAAGTTCAACTAAATAACACTTCATTTTTGTAATCCAAATGAATTCATTACTGTTGTGAAATGAAATAAAAATTTTCCTGTTCAAATATAAAACAAAAAAAATTCTTCATCTTTTAATCACCAAACGAAAGGTTACATAAAACAAAGCCCTCTGGTGGCGAAACGGAGTTCGCCGGGTTTTCTAGTTATTACTATAAAATGTAGTTTTTTTATATAAACCATTCCTATGTAATTTTTAGTTCGTTTCCTTTGTATTAGAGCAAAACCGTTTGATTAATTAAATAAATAACTTTTCATTAAAAATATAGCTGTTAGGTATTAGGTATCTATCTTTCTGCAAATAATTGGTGTTTTTACGGAAAGAAAACATTTACAACAACAGCAATTTTGTTACCACAACAGTTTGCGGAAATGATAAAGACATATAGTGATGATAAACTAACAATCCTCTTTATTGCAAGATTTAAAAAATTTATTTCGTTTTTGCAGTCTCATAGCGTCCTATAGCATTTTGACCGCTACTTTGATTAAAAAAAAAAAACTGATAAAGCATTACTTAAATTATTTGTTAGCACACATTTAGAACAGTGTTTTAAAAAATATCGTTTAAGGAAAATGTTTAATTCAAAAATATTTTATTTACAGGATGAAAATGGATAATTTGCTCAAGTGCGAACAAGTTTTATTCAATTTGTATACAAAAGTAGAGAAGGTTTGTAATAGGTGTTTGTGTACGTATTTTTTCCAGCAATTTTTAACACTCAACAGAGTTTTTTTTGTTATAGAAAAAGTCACGAGAACCAGATCGAAGTACAAACTCGGAAACTCGGAACTCGGAAGAATCGAGAAATACAAATTTAAATGTAGTGAGGAACAAACTCAAGACAGTGGCATCCAAATTACACACCCATGGCAATGACACACTACCGGAAATTGCAAGGGCAAATGATGTTGAAGAATCATGTGTTCCAGGAAGTAAAGAACCTGCCCTATTTCAGCGAAGACCTAACATATCTTCATCAACACGAAGCATATTTCCAGGATGTGAAAAGGATTTTCCACCTAAAAATACTGAAAAGGAGTACTCTCACCTACTATTATCACCGGACCGCAACCCTAAACCTTATACAAAAGATTACTCAGACGAACAATCATTGTTTGTAAGAAGATCACCTAAAAAATCACACCGAGTAGTCTCACCTTCTTACAATAGAAAAGAACGAAAGAAATCTTTAGAAGAAGATGTTAAGGTTAGTAAATTAAAAGATCTTAATATTACTCTTCAAGTTCCCGAAGATAGTCTTCATTCACTTAATACAAAGGATATTGTATCCAGAATTATTAATTGTAATGATAATGATGTTGACATTGAAACCTTGCGCGGGTTAAGAACGCAAATATTGGGAGAACTAAAAGAAACTGGTTCAAAAGAAGATATTTCAGATATTATAATAAAATCTTATAAAAAGGACGAAAAAAACAAGAAATCTGAAGAAGTGGAAGAAGGTGAACTTTCAGATAGTGAAAGCGAGACCATTGAAAATATTTATGGCAGTTTAGTTGTAATGAATAAAGATAAATCTAATAAAATTGTGCAATCTGATAATTTGGCCACGACAAAGCCTTGTAAAATTCAAATTTGTTTGGTAATTAATCCAGAGAAACAAAAAGAGAGTCTACCAATTGAAAACAATAAAAGTAACACGAATCTTGATATCTCTGATTTTGAATTATTTGAAAATGTAGACAAGCAAAATAATAAAACACTTGAATCTGCAAAAGCTAGTAATACTAGTAATCAACATGATGTTATAAAACCAAACGTTTTGCAAAAACAAACTTCTGTAGAAACCACATCTGAAACGCAAGTATTTAGAAATGACACATCTCAATCTGAAATAAGTAATAAATCGAAACAAGATGCTTCTCACAACGCACAGGGTATTCATTCAATTTTAAATGATAACAACAGAATTGACTCGTTGACTAAATCGTTGTCTGAAAGTGCTCATGATGAAGAAAAGGATCATACTTCATTGGAAGAAAATCAAAGTTTCTCAGAAATTACTCATAATGACCCTAATAGTTTTAATGCTTTAACTAGCAAACAGGATGTAGAAATTCCTTTGCTCAATTCTCAAAAAAGTCAATCTAACTCTGATAAAAATGAAGTATCAGAAATTGATATTTTGCAAGCTTTGAAAAACGAAATTTTGAGTGAAACGTCTAATGTTCTTAGCTCAGATGTCGAAGCACCTCTTTTTCAGCCTAAAGTAACAAAAGTAGCAAATGCCGAAGAAATAGGATATAAGAAGAGGATATCTATTGAAAAATATAAGGCTAAAGCTACCAATAAATCGCTACCAAATTGTGATACCGAGAATAATTCCCAAGAAGACGTTTTAAAGAAACAAAGTCTTAAACTCACTGAAAAGGAATGCGAGCGGTTTTTTTCGACTAAAAGATGGTTTGAATCTTTTTCTGATACTGAAGATACATCCAATTTGTCAGTCGACGATGTTTATGAACATTTAGCACCAAAATCGCCTGATCATGAGGATTTTTCAGATACGGGTATTAAACCACCTATAATAATACCTATTGACCCAGTTGAAACGCCGGTCGTAACGTCAGAAAAAGATATAGACATGAGACAGATTTTGCCACAAGACGTAGGTAACATTATTACCCCTTTACCAATTCACCTCGAAAATTCAAATGTTTTCGCTAAAGAAGGTATGTTATTCGATAATAATGGGCTGCAAATATCAAATTTGACTGACCCTCGAATGAACAGAGATGTTACTATCATGAATCATCAAGCACAAGGAATTTCTGTCTTATCTTCAAACCACCCTTTAAACCCAATAAACTCATTAAACGAAAATTTCTCCCCTAATTTCAACCAAATCATGGCGATTAACATGCCTGGATCTACTCCTAACATAAATGTCAATTTGCCTCCAAATAGAGCCGCTGTGACTTTGTCCCCCAGGTTGGCGCCAAATTTGACACCGAATAGAATACAAAATATAGGAGGAAGTATGACTCCGAATAGCCTAAATAGTTCAATGCCTTTTGATACAACACCATCCAGAAATTCATTTGATAATGATGATAACCACAAAAATTTGAATACAATATATCAAAATTTTGAGTCTCAGGCTTATAATGAAAAAGCACGAAAGTCGCCATGGTCCAATGATGTTCCATTTTGGGAAGACGTTGAAATACCAATAAAAACCTCCAATAAAATATCTGTCAGGGAAAATCAACTTAATTCAATAAACAGTTCAAACACCTCCAATAAAACCTTCAATAAAATATCTGTCTGGGAAAATCAACTTAATTCAATAAACAGTTCAAACACCATTCCAGTTTGGGAAGACGTTGGAAACTTGAGAAAACCATCTAAAGTGCGGGATAACGAATATATGGCAACATATGATAGATACAATGTTGAATCAAGGGAGCCATATATAAGAAACGACGCCCAAGCGGCATCTAGACATTCATTTAGAAGGATAGATTGCCCTTCAGCGACAATTACATCTTTTAGTCGTTATGATTGTCCACCTACTCCGACCCATCCCTTTGGTAGGCAAGAGGCTTCGATGACTTCTTCCCATAATTTTGGAAGGTCTGAGTACACACAAGTTGCCTTTGCACAAAAATTCAATAAATCCCAGGATCGAAGAATATATAGAAATCCAGATTATGATAATTATCATGCGCGGGATCGAGACAGGGAACGATATGATAATTATGAGTCAAAATTTAATTCAATTTCTCATGATTCGGATCAGTGTAATAGGTTTAATCGTTTAGATACGTATAGGCAGCATGTGGGAAGACAAGATAGAAATAAATTTTATGAACAAAATGAAAGTAATTTTCGGGAGCCACTGTCCCGTCGAGAAACTGACTGTCGACAATATAACAGGGAACTAGAAGGAGAACGTTTTTTTACTAGACATCGGGGGGGTTCTTCAAATTATAACCATCGCCGTCAAAATGAATCGAATAGTTATGACAAAAGAAATCGACGTTGCTATAATATCGAAAGATCAAATAGCAAAAATACAAGGGATTTGTCGCCATCGTTACCTCAGTCACCTCAGACTTTAGGATCTGTACTTTCAAAAGATAAAAAAATTGGCGTTCATTCTGACTTTGGTAACTCACTTTTAATCGATAAGAGTTCTAAAAATTCGTCAATTGAAACCAAATCAGGTGATAAACCCAAATTTGACGCTCGTAGGCAACGCGCTTCTAGCGTCGGAAGGTCGATTTCCAGCAACTCCAATGAGAGTCGAGGTTTCCACGTATCAAAACAATCTTTGAGCATAACAAAAAGTGAAACTATGAGAAGGTCTTTTCAAAGATCAAGTAGTGTTGGAAGAGAAATTAGGGGGGGCATCGGTAATTTTAAAGACGTAAAAGAATCCTTAAAATCGTTTAAATTAAAATCGGACTCGACTGTCTCAAGTTACTTTAAGAAAACAGAAGAACCTGGCAGAGCTGTGTCTTTCGTAACAAGTTGTAAGTCGTCCAATAAAAGAGAAATATTCGAGTCAGGAAAAAAATCATTCAATGCTTGTCTAAGATATTCACCAAGAAAAAATAATAGAGATCCAAGAATGTGCCGAGAGTCTTACGGGATAAAAAATAAGTTTAAAGATAAGAAAAACGACTTACGAGATTCTAAACATTGTGGCATAGTTTACACAAATGATAACATTACCAAAGGAACTATTTTAGGATCTGGATACGGTGTTAAAAATTACAAAATACCGAAAATAAAGCGAAACAGTGAAATAACAGAGACAGTTCTTAGTGATAGCATTCAAGGAAATGAAATAAAAGACAACGCGGATAATGATTGTCAAAAAGCTGCAAAGGGAAGTGAAGACAAAAACAAATCCCTAATTGATTTATCGGGTCAAAGTCTTACAAAAGATGTTAAATTGTTATCAGGTGCAGAGGAGAGGATGGAAGGTAAATATGAAATTCAAGCTGTAATAAATAAAACAGATATTGAATCCGACAGCGAAAAGCAGCTTAATAATATTCAGCATTTGAAAGAAGATAAAAATGTTATTGTACCTGAAACTTCTACTGTCAATGAAAGAAGGGTAACTAGATCTGACACAAAAAATGTTTCTGTAGAAAAATCTTTTAGAGAAAAATCACCTATCCTAATGACAAGAAAACTGAAGACATTACAAAAAATTAAATCGGATACCGACGATAATGATTCCATCATATCCATTCAGAAAGATAATTCTATAGAAAATAATAAATTGAATGCGGCCATAAAAGAAAAACCAAATGTTGACTATAAATCACTATTGTGTGCTGCCAATCATTGTGAAAGAACGAAAAATGAATTCATAAATTCTGAAGTGGATGATATTGAAATTTTTTCTGACAATTTCATATCAAATCAGATAGATAATATAAATGATTTAATTGCGGATTTAGATGACGATTTAGAGTCACATAAGATTTTAGACTCTGATAGTACTGATTTTTCAAAAGACGTGAGTATTGAAAATCTAATAGAAAACGATTCAAACCCATGTAAAAATAACAAATTAAATATACCTAAAAATGTACAAATTCCCGGTTTAATGGTTTCGACAGTTGTACAGAATGTAAAAACGGATGATACCAGTTTGGTTACAACAAATAATGAAAAGGGAATTAGTTCCAAACAAGAAGACAAACAAGAGAGTAACTTAGAAATTGGTAACACTAAAGAAGAATGCATTTCAGGTGATATTTTAATTAACGAAGAAAACATAATGCCTCTTACACAAATGACAAAAAATGTTGAATTAAATAATGAGGCTGTAGTGTCCACCACTTTCAATCATTCGGAAAAAAGACCAGCTAATAACAGCGAAGTCCGTAAAAAAATTACTGGTGATGTTGATGAAATGAAAACACCTGATAGAATTATTGAAAATAGTGACGTTCCCGAGACCAAATTGGATGGAAATTGTCTGGAAATGACTAAGAAACCCACAATAGAAATGATGGATTCTGATTTCTCTTCGACTGACAATAACGTGAAAACAAAAGCGGATATGATAGAATCCAGTTTACCTTCTACAAACAAAACGCAAATAGAATCTATTGGCAAGCTTTTATCAATCTTACAGGATAAGTCAAAGATAAAAGAACTTCTTGGTTTGTTAGGAGATCAATCCAGTGAGTGCGAAAAAATTAAAAAGAAATTAGAGAAACTAAGCGAACTTGTGTCTGACGATGAAGAGGTCATCAACGATACAGAAACAAAGAATAAAGAAGAAAGCCAAAATAAGGATAAAGATCCTGAATCTCAGTCGAAAACTCAACAAATTGTAGATATTGTGAATTCTAACGATAAAACTAAATCTAATGACAATGTAGGTGAAGCAGTTTCAGAATCGAATAATTTTAGTCCTCAAAAAGAAATACTTTGTCCATTAGAAATAAATATGGAAGACTGTGAAAGGCTCTTAGAAATAAAATCTGCAAATAAAGAAAAGGAAGGACCAAATACGGTCGAAAATAATGTTAAAACGGTCATTAAAAAAGGTTCTGTTCCTAAAAAGCGAAAAAAGAAAACTTTTATAAAGAAAACGTGTAAAAAAAATAGTCGTTTAGCTCAATCAGATACCGTAGAAGTAAAGTTTGGGAACCCTTCCGTAAAAAAGCTATCTAGAGAATTGAAAAATTTACAAGATGACATAAGAGAAATGTTCATAAGAGATGACGTGCTTAATTCGACTGGAATAAGAAAGTGCCGTATGGCAAAATTGGCTGATCGAAAGCGCAACAAACAACAAGAAAGTATTGCTCATGGTGAACCTAAACCGATAGTAGTTCTAAAAAAAATTAAAGATATTATGGGGTGTGGAGAGGACGCTGCATCTATTGAAAAAGGAAAAAAGGCTAAGGGCAAAAAAATATTTGAAAATGAAATAAAAAACAAATCGGTACAAACTTCTACAGTTAAACCTACAGAAAATAAAAGTGATCCGTATGATTTTGAGACAGACTCTATAAAAGGTACAAGTAACCTTAGTGATAAAAACGATAGTTCGGGATCAGATTTCGAATCCTTAGGTTCATCGAAAAGATTCGGTAGCAATGAACTTTTAACGGAAATTAAGAAAACAAAACGCAGACGTCGTAAAGGATGGAGATCTGGAATTATAAAGTCCAAATGTAGAAAGAAGTCAATTAATCAGAAACAAGATGAAAATATTACCGAAAAAGAATCCGTAATACCCCAAGTTGATGTTACCATACCTGACTTGAATTGTTACATTGACAAAATGTATTGCTTCCGGAAGAAAAACACTACTTATGATTGTCGTCTTTGTATCTTTAGTGGTGAAGAAATAGTACATCATTATAAAAAGCATCATCCTTGCTCAGAAATTCCATGTTCACGAATGAGTCCAGCTGTCGCAAAGTCAGCGATAACAGAATCAAAAGAAGTCAATATTCAAGCTATTAGTAAAGTAACTTCAAAAAAATTTGTGTGCCGATTTTGTTTCAAGGAATTTTCTAGAAATAAGCCCTTAATTGAATCATTCTTTTGGCACGTCGTAAGCGTGCACACTGGTGAATATAAACAACTTTGTTCAGAAGGTAGTAATGACAATAGCAGTCCATTTATTTTAGATATCCCCCCGCCTCCTACAGAAGCGAAAGGTCAATTACTCGGTTACATATGTGGAGAATGTAATTACACTCAAATATCTGTAGAAAATCTAAAGACACATTTAATTTTGAGACACAATGACGAACCAACTCCAATTTATAATATTAATTTGGCTTCTTTGACTCGACCATATATCAATAGTATTTTAAAAGAAATGGCGAAAGATAATGAAAATATACAAAACGATAAGGAACCTTCTCGAGTGCTGAGAAGTTCCTGTTCTAACATCAGTTTTTCTGAAATTGTACAACTTGAAAATAATTCATTGACAGAGTCTAGTCTAAATTTAAATGAGAGTTTAATCTGTGCTAATGGAGATGATTCCAGCGAAAATACAATTATTACAAACAATATTAAGTCAAAAATTACTTTTGAAAACGATATCATGGATGATATTTCCAATGATAAAGACTCCGATGACAGAGACCTACCTGTTTTAAAAATTGGTGCAGATACTAACGATACAAGTAGAAGTGAACCAGAAAAAGATCTTTCACGTGTTATAGAACCAGAACTTGCTATAGAGACCAATTCTGAAAATCAACTCAACAAAGGACTCAAAGATTTATCTGAATTTCCACAAAATTTATTTGATTGTCCTCATTTCAAAATACAATATAACAGAACTGGTTCAAAAGAATACATATGTTGTATTAATGGTAATATGCATTACAGAACTACGCTTCTTATTTCTTTTAAAAAGCATGTTCAAATGAAACATTCAGAAAAATGGGACGGCTATTGTTATGTTTGTAAAGTGATTGTTACACCGCAAGGTACACATTTCTTTATGGATTGTTTGTGTCACTTTCTTGATAAACACCTAGACGATTTTCCGATTTTGGAAGAAACACCTGAAAAACCTTCAAATATCGAATCTGCTACAGTTACTGAAAATCAACCTATTCTAGTGAAACAAGAACCCAAAGTGTATATTAATGTTCGTCCAATATCGGATACTACCGAATCAAATAAGGGTACTAGCGAATCATATAAGGGTAATACCGCAGTGTCGGACGTCAGTAAATCCCCAGTTTTAGCTGTCATAGAAAATGTTATTAGTCTTCGATCACCCTTGGCCAGTCCACGACACAGTCCATCTCACCACACTACTAGTAATAATAGTGTGCCTTTCGAGAAACTGTATAAGTATGAAGAAGTTCAAGCCGAGATTATGTCTAAGAAACACCGGGTTGTCTTGGATGTCATGATGTCGGAGAACAAACTAGGTCATGTTTTTAAATGTTCAGGACGATTTTGTTCATTTACATCTGATAGTGCTGAAGACGCATTTCTTCATGCATCAACGCACGCGCGGCTTGGTGGAGAGGATGCATTAAATTGTGTTTATTGTGATTTTGATTGTCATCAAAATGCTATAGATTTGATAACGCATGTATTTAAAAGTCATGGAAGCTGTCAATACATTTGCGGAAAGTGTTTCTACCGTGCAGCTGCAGGTCAACTTGTGAAAGCGCATCTCAAGAGGATACACGATGAAACTACGTCAAATGCGATTTTACATACCTCATTTAAAACTGTTTGTGAGGAAGACATCTTACTATCTCGAGAAATTGCGGTTCCTCATTACATTTGCAATGGTATGTTTTTGTTTTTTCATTAATTGAATGAGTTTTTTTTATTAATGTTAACTCAAAATAAAATATAGCTGTTATTTTTACAATGGCATATGTATCTTAAAAAATTGGTGGTCATCGTATTTTACTCCAGTATGTGTTAAAGCACATGGTTTGAATCAATATTTATTTAATTGTTACAATAACATGAGGGTTTAGTCGTCATGGCTAGACGGCAAAGAAATGTACACACGGCATGTTTACATAATAAAAGAAGCAATAAGCATTGTCTCTTATAATGCATACATTTAACACGTCTTCGACTTAATTCTTAATAAATAAAGCGTTTGTTACTCCGTCGCATAAAGAACCTTATTTTATATATTCTCAGCTCAAGGTGATTCCGAGGAACGCTGTAAGTTTAAAACTTATACTCCTGGAAAATTCTGTGAACATCTTCAGACCCGTCACGCCTCAGCCGCTGATTTTAAATGTTTTGTAAGATTTTTTTTCTCAATTGTTCTGTTCTTTATACTCGATTATTTAAACCGGAAATATGTTAAAGTTTTGTGAGTTGTAAATAATTTGGATGTAGTAATATTATAATTATAATTTCAGATGTGTGCCGCTAAAGTCGCGACGCCAACTGATTTGGTACGACATTTGAAAATTCATGGTTTAAAGTTATACCAATGTTGTTGGTGCATTCACGGAGCTGATAATGAACCCGAATTATTAGCACACGCTTCAGTTTATCATCCTACTAAACTACCTAAAGCTTATTTACGGATTATAACCAATAAGGTATTTGTTACAATGCCAAAGGAAACTTTAGTAATTATAATGTAATTATATTTCAAATAATTGTAAAATTTTCCTACAACTTTTTCCAGGAGGGGTTATCAGATTTGAGAGTTTTGCCACTAGCACATTTAACTAAATCGAATGTCCTCGCAAAAGAAATTATTATGAGCAAAGTTAAAGATAATCCTGTAAAAGAGGCAGAAAGGTCCATAGAATTGGAAAAACTTTTGGGGCAAACCTGCCTTAAGGTTGAAACTACTGCACCGTCAGAAGAAACGAACACACAATATAAAGATTTTGAGTTAATTTTTGATAATGAATCTGAAATAAGACCCGTTGGGTTAAATGATGAATCAATTCTAACAATGCAATCAGAATTTATCCCAACCAGAACCAGCACACCCATAACGGCAGTAAAGGAGGTTCTGTCTAAAAATGAGAAGGAAACTTTGACGAAAATCGAATTATTAAATGTCGAAAAAACTGTTGAAAATCAACCGGTTATATACTGTTTGGATAGCGATGAAGACAATTCTGTTCAAAGCTCCCTTGAATCTAATAATAAAGCCAGTAGAAAAGAGATAAAAGTTGCTTTGAAGGACTTATTTATGTGTGCCAAATGTAAAATGGTTCTCAATACCGGTGTTGGGTTGAAACGGCACATGATGTGGTGTTATGCTGCCGTCCCCGATCCTATTTCCTGTGCTCACTGTTCAGTGAAATTAATCAAAAGTGATGTCCTGAATCATTATTACGAGGTGCATAGCCTCACAGGCAAACCTCTAAAATTTGTTTGTACTAAATGCCATCGTGAATTTAATTCAGCTGCTCTTCTTAAAGAACACCGTAAATTAGAACATTTTAATATTGCTAACAAAAATAGTGAAGGAACTGGTGCCAAACAAGTTGATGCTCCAAATAAACGAAAGAGATCTGTAGGCAGCAAAGAAAAACCGGTAGTTCCAGAAAAAATCAGACGTTATGGACCCCAAGACGTGGACTTACTGCCGATTAATCCAATATTAGATGATTTAGTATTCTGTTCACTCTGCGAATTTAATACAAAAGTCAAATTGAACATGGTAAGACATTTACTGTCACATGCTCAACAACAACCAGTGCCACAGACAGCACCAGTTAATCCGGTGCCTCATTTAGAGACGAATGAAAAACATTTCGACAAAATGGTCAATTTAGCTTCAAGTTCTATTGTTACTAGGACACCTGATAAGAATAAGACTGAGAACACCATTGTACTCCTACCGTCAGAAGCTGCATCGCATTTCCCTAAATATGTGACAGAAAAACAGCGACTAACTTGTGGAGCAAAAGGTTGTACTTATATATCTGTCGACGAGTCTATGTTGAAGTGTCACTGGGAAACATTGCACGCCGATTGTAGCGAGTTTCACTGCGTACATTGCGCCCCTCATAAATTTTTCGATACGTCGCAACCGTTGACTTCATCCAGAATTATCGATCATCTGAAAATGCACGATTCTGAGTTGTATGCTTGTTCGTTGTGCACATACTATCACCATAAACGCGAAATACTTCAAAAACATTTAGTAGATACCCACAAGGGTGGACAAGTTATGGTTGTAAGAGAGGGAACCACGACAACTTCTATAACAAACCCAGTTCAAAATGCAGCGCCCACAATGGATTTAAAACTATGGCAGTGTGGGTTATGTAACTTTAAGAGCCTCCTAGAACTCCAGGTAGTAGATCATTGTGCTAAGGAACATAACTCAAAGATGCAATACAAATGTGTTTTTTGTGAGTTTAGAACATCAAATGCAGAGAACATATCAAAACATCAAGCGGAATCGCATCCGGAAAAACCTGAGGAGGTTTTCTATTATTACTATAGAAAAGACTCGATACCAGATGAGCCTGGTGGTACTCCGAAGTGGCAAAAACAGAGACAAAAGAACGAAATTTTTGAGCCTCAATTGAAGTGCGAACCTCCAAACCTTGATATTCCTCCTTTACAACCCCTGTCGACACCTGTTGTTTCCACAGTAGATTTGAATTTAGTTAAAAAAGAATTTATAGAACCAATTGAAGAAAAACTTCAAGATATATGTCATGATTTTGGTGAATTTTGCGACCCCAATGGCTTAAAATATATGTGTCCTTTGTGTAAAAATGTAATGGAAGATGACATAGAAACAATTCAATCGCATTTGTATGAAGAATTGAAATATAGGAAGTAAGTGTAGATGTCCTTTTTTGAGCAAGTTTATTATTTGGGAAAACAAATTAATGGAAATTTAATTTATTTTTATATAATTTTTAGGTGGGGTTGCAGTATCTGTTCTTATAAAGCGTTTCATAAAGCCGGATTAAGTGAGCACATGCAAGTAGAACATTGTCAGAATAGAGAACCGATAGCTCTACAAATTGATCACCGAGTTGAGACGTGGGTGAATAAGTTATTGGAACACCAAACAACACTAATTGAAAAGTATAAAGAAAATTTACTAAAACAGAAAGCTGAAATTTTCCGAACTGCTCCGGAAGTTAACAAAATTCAGTCACATCAAATGGAATTATCTCAGAATACATCGAAAAGCAATAATTCAGACATTTCTATTGAGGATTTTAATAAGATATTTGGAGCAATTGGTGCACCGGTCAATCGTTTGTACTGCTGTCCCAAATGTGGCGCTACGTTTAAAGAGGAGGATCTCATGCAAAATCACCTTGAAAGCGAGCTAAACAAAATAAGGTTTGTATTTAAAAAGTAAGAAACAGGTGTATAAATCAAAAATATAGAAGTATGTATTATTATTATCTTACGATAAGTTAATAATAATACTTAAAATTTTAGTGACGTCTGAAAGTTGAAAGTCTTAATCACTTCAATTGTGCCGAATTGAGTGCTTATAATATTAAGTATAACTAAAATTTCAGATGGTTCTGCAGTACATGTTACCTGACCTTCCAGACTTTTCACGAAGCGCAGTTTCACTGTCGAAGTGCTCACCTGTCTCTTCGCCCTGCAGCTCGGCCCAGTGAAGCACCCCGAGACCCAATTGCAAGGGACAACTGGGTCAAGACCGTACTCGCAGTACAAAGGCTCGGCATGGCAGAAGAACCCCAAGCACAGACGAGTCCCAAGAAAGATTCCAGACTCGATGAATCTTTGCTGGTCGTTCGTTATGAAGAAAATATCCCTACCCCGGATTTCCACCAACCTCAAGTACCTATTCCCACAGATAGTGATGAAGAGAAATTAGTTATTGACGAACCAGTTGAAAAGGATATAGGCGCTTCTTGCAGTCGGAATTGCACTATTTGCGGGCAAGTGATACCGCAGCGCGAACAGATGCGCAAGCACATTCTCAAACATTACAACCTTAAACCGTATTCTTGCGGCTATTGTTCATTTAATGGAACTAGAACGGCTGTTATTAATCACCATAAGAGATACCATGCTCCAGAAACCTTGCGTTTAATGAGCGCATCTATACCAAAAGTGCCACCACAAGAATATGCTAAAAAACCTAGTGCGAATGTTAGCAGTGTTATATGTCTTGTGTGCAAAAAAAGTATCATGGAATCGGAAGTGAAAGACCATGTCCACCCTACAGAGATCGTAAGCTATGCCAAGATGGGTGATGTTGTTTTAAAATGTACTGTTTGTTCAGCGCTAAGTAAAGATCTTAATACACATTTGATGCACCAGCAAAAGGTTCATAAGAAAATGAAAACTACAACTTATACATCCTTGACATTTAACCCTGCTGAAGACAAAGAGGAACCTATGTCTAGATCTTACCACATTTTTTACCAATGCAATAAGTGTGAAAAGAAATTCTCATCAATGAAAGAATTAAAAGTTCATAAAACAACTAACTGCTCCGAGACTTGTAGAATGCCAATAGTTAGTATAAATAAAATGAAGATAGACGATAAAGACAAAGTAGGAAAGAAACGTAAAAATGATGATAAGTCTAATAATACTAGTAAGAAGGTCGCAAAAAAAACAACCAGAACATCTCAAATCAAAAGATTTGATCTTAAATCAACAACAAGATTATCTACGGATGGACAAGATAAGGGAGAATCAAGTAACAAACCTAATGAAGAACTAAATTGTTTTAAAACAATGATACCAGTCTGTAATAAGCTGGTACCAGATACATCTAACATGTTGAACAATATTAAAGATAAAAAACCTGTTGTGGTCGTTGAAAAAATTAATATGGATGATAAGAAGTAAATGTACACAGGAAAATTTTGCTAAAACATTTAAATGTTATAATTATACTTAGTGTTTACTATTACTGGTAGATAAATATCTGTGATTTATAAATGGCATTAGTTTTTAAGATAAATAATAATTACTTCTCAAGCATTTTTATGTTTTGTTTATTGATTTTGCATAAAATTTGTAAGGCAGATTATTGATAGAAGAAAGTTCAATCATTTATGTTTATTATGTAAGAAATGCAAAATATTCTCTACCAATTACCTTTCTTGTTTACATTAAATGTTGATATCATTTGTAATTTAAGCCATCTCTGGTACAAGGACAAAAATTATATACTATAATATATATATTAGATATATCTCTTTTCACTAAGGTACTTTAAGGTCATAGTTATAGTGTAACGACTGCCCAAATTAATGTTACTTCCAATTGTTAAATATAAATATACCTTTTCTAATTTTAGGTATTTTGGTGTTTATACTATTGAGTCTTTATTGACCATTACTGATTGTAAAATATTAATAGAGTTAGTGCAATACGTAAACACATTGTATGTTATCAATGTTTCTAATGTAAACATTAAAAGAAATATGATTATGTGTACCAGATTTTAATTTTTTACCTCAATTCCTACATACCTGAAACTTTAACTTATTTATTTTCCTATTCTTTAATAATTTACTTAATAAATAAATATATATCACATTTTGAAGTTTAAAAATAATTTATTGAAATTGAGATTTTTTAGAAATTACAATTATATACATAAAGTCAATAAATTGTAATAAATAACCTGCGATCTAGTTTAAAACATTGTAGCGTTTGTAAATATTATATACCTATTTAATTGGCTTTTAAAAAAATATATTCAGTTTTTAAAACTTGTTACAATCTTTTGAGAGGTACAGCATAAAAGACATTTCTGGTTTTATTATTCCTCAACAGATGTCGTTGTTATGAAAGCTTACTCTATCTAAATTCATCATTATTGTAGAAAAAACCGCTAGATGTCGCGGTAAATGATTGTTGTTATTTTTCTTCTAAAATACACATATGCTTTTATATTTTTGTCACTAAAACAAAGTATAATCCACCTCAAACACATGACGAGGAATAAGAGAAGTTGTTGTTGCAGAATGAAGCCTAACCTCCACAAAGACAGTTGAAGTAACTACCTGATCAAACAAATTTTGTTACATTTTATTAATTTTCTTGTTACATTTTAATAATGAATCGAATGAAAACATTTATTGCCTTCTACTTTCTAGTTTATGAACGTAGAAGACTATTTAGAGTAATCCGTAATAGGAACGTAGCAATATTCGTTAAACAAGGATGGTAGTAATATTCAATGTTTTTAAGTTATGGTATTAATATTGAAATCACTTAGTAAATAAATTATTATAAATTAAATCTTATTCAAAAACACTTTATAAACTTACCACCAAAAATAAAAAAACTCAGGTACAGACAATATGTGATAAGTATAATAAAAAAGTTTTTTTTTCCGATATTTTATCATGATGTCCTAAAGCATGATTGCGTAGACTGAATGATTCGATCAATCAAGCAAAGATTTTTAAAAGGCGAATTATAATTTTTTAACAATTAAGATTTATCTCCCTTTCATTTTAATAGTCACAAATATAACTACGATCATAAGAATAATTGAATTATTAATAATATATTTTTGTACTTGAATATTATTACTAATAAATTGTAGAACACAGCAGTCTTTTGTTTTATATGAAATAATATGATTTTGGTAAAATTTTTCAAATACACGATGCAATTAGCAGTTATGTAGTCCGATTGTAGGTTAAGATAAAACATATGATTTCGGTGAATAAAAGGAAAAAACACCTATGTTCATTTAAATATCTTTTTTCTAGGATTACATTTCTTCTGATTTAAAATTTTTAAGGTTAAATAAAACTGTAAAATCTATTTGTATCTACATAGTATAAAAATAAATAGCATTGTATATATGAATAAGACATACTTATTTTTGAGATAATCGAATTAAGTGGTTCCTTATATGTACATATATACATGTAAAATTTATTAGGCAAAACTTAGCATAAAATAAAGTAATAAAATGTATGTTATATAAATTTAAGCTTACAAGCCGCTTGAAGAAAGGAAACTAGAACAAAATTGCAGACGACAAGAAATAATATTTATATCTAATTACACAAACAGGAGAAGCAATCAAATTGAGGTTTTGCAGCTTGACCCATGCTACTGGCCTTTTATATTATATGTAAGTACCTATGGTACTTCTTTAAAACATCCCTATAACTACCCTATTACAATATATATCTTATATCTTTAATCTTATCTTATATCTTTAAATGAGCAATTATTGTATATATATTTATATATAATTCATTAACGAGAACGATTTTCTTGAAATTTACTACATAGCGGGTTTCAGGGCGATAAATCGATATAGCTAGGAATCAGTTTAGAAAATGTCATTTTATGAAAAATTACTCTCCCTGACATCTATTGGCGAATAATACTACTACTTTGTGCTAATTGCTTTTACTAATTGCTTTAATAACATAACAGCAGATGGCGTTGCTAAGTAATAGGAAGTCGATGAGTGCTTGTTTTCCAGTTCGACTAAGAAATTTATTGTTTATTTATATAGTTTTGTGTCTTCTTAACGTGTTCACTTAGAAATGCCTTAACGAAATAAAAGAAAAACACAAAAATAAATACATACTAATAATTCCTAAATAACAAGCAAAGCTCGGTGTCCAGATATTATATATAAATGCACCACACATATTAACTTCAACATTTGCAATGTCAGTAAATAAAGAATTAATTACTAAAGACACCGAGAAAGAATTAATGCTCTTCAACTCAGAGGCCACTTTAAGTAATTTAGATTGGAGATAATTTAAATGTAATTAAGAAGAATAGCGCCATACTTTAGTATAAATAAAATATATATAAATAAATAATGGACTTGAAAATAAAAGCCAAAAATCGTCACAAGGTAGTAGTCTCAGTATTGTATGAACATAAAAAATGTGCTTCAATTTCCTTTGTGGATACTATTCCGTTATTATTTTGAAAGGAAATTATCGTACGTGTTCGAGAAAATATCTCTCTTAATTTTGTTGTTCGCTGATATCGGAACTTCGGCAAACACGGGCTATTGTTTGCACAAAGAAATTCGAGAGGGCTTTTATATTTACTGAACCCTTTCAGATTTTCAGGTACCGAAACTGAACGAGTTGTTCAAATGAGAAAAGGTGAATGAAAATTATAAAAAAAGTATTCTTTCTCTATAGTTATTTCACTCAATCCTTTTGTTATCATGAATAAAAGATAGTGAAAATTTTAGTAATACCTAAGTACCTAAGCACTATTCGTTTTTTAACTAATTTGTTTTATAGTTTCTTGCTCGGTCATGTTTGAGTAAATATTATGAATAAAAAATGTTTCATACACAGAAACAAAACACATACGTAAGAGAAGTAGCTTAAATCAATACGTATTGCTTAGAAAGGAATTGACTATGCCCTTTTTTATAGTTGGTAAAAAATTTAAATAAGTTCTTTTTTACTATTTATGACATCAAGAAAAGTTTGAAATACTTGAATAAAACTTGATTCTTATGACTTCAAGTAATTGTTTATTAATTTAAAATACATTTATTTTAAAATACGTATATTCTAGACTTATATTATATAGACTATAGAGTATGTTGTTTAACTTACATTTGCCTGATGTATGCTTTGCTCAAGTAGGCATCGTCAGGCTACTTAGGAATCGGTAACAGTTTTTCATTTATAAATCTGCTCACTTTATAGTTCTTATCTAGGGTAAATCATGAAAAACGTAAAGAGCTTCGTATTTAGATATTTCTGTTTAATATTTGTCGACTTTATCATAATACACAAATTGAGTCTATTTAAAATTATCAAAGAAAATAATATTAATATTATAACCATATTCATTTTTTAATTAGAGAAGTTAGAGAATGTCTTATCCACAACATTACAGCATACCCCCAGGCGTTCGCATTGTCGTCAATAGCAATAAGCTTCCAAAGGGATTTCGTGTGATCGGTATTACAATGGCGAATGTTCTGAGGAATTGTTCGAAATTTTCTACCATTAAGGTTTCACCATTTCGATCAGTTTAGTAGAATATATATAACCTTCATGAACTTATGTCAAGTCATCCGTGGGATTATTGGTAATATTGCTTATAATTCGTCCAACAAATAAAAACGTTGACGTTGACAATATATTCAACGTTTCTAGTGCGAATAAAACTAAAAACATTGTATATCTGCACGGATGAAGGTCATATTATAAAAGAAATAATAATAACATTGTATATGTAGGCTAGTTTATGTAAATCCAAGTCTAAGCTCGTTATTGTCTTCAGTTTTTTTTCATAATTTTCAATAGATCCCAATAAAAATGGCATGCAATAGAGTGGGGTAAGAATCCCACCCCGAGATGCTTAACCCAGTATGTTATGAACCCACGGATTTCCAGAGGATTGTAAGCCGCAGTAGTTTCAACTTTCATAAATGCTCTGTTGAACTGGATGGAAAAACCATAAGAATTGATTTGTTAAATAAACCATAGCCTGTGATACTGAAAAAAAGTTAACAGTCGATATTCAGATTATCTTAAACATTATAACGTTGGCTATGACTAGTGAAGTAAAGTTTTAGTTTTTCTACTAATCATTGAATTGCTAGTATCTTGCGTTTTAGCCCCTTCAATAATGAGCTTCAGCTTTTTTAGTTTTGGCGATAATTAAGGTTCCTAATTGGACAATTTGCAGATATTATCATTGTTTAGATATCGTTTTTAGCTGAACATAACTTTTTGTATAAGTTTCTCTTTGCTATCTCTTTGTTAAGTATTTATCATATTGGTCTAATTGGTGAAACAACAAATTTCTTATTTAACTCGATCGCTTACTTTTGAAGTGATATTGGAACATATTTTAACAGACTTGCAGACTATATA